GATAGACAGATAGATGGATAGATAGATAGATAGATAGATAGATAGATAGATAGATAGATAGATAGATAGATAGATAGATAGATGGACAATGTGTAAAATGAGTCCTCTATGGAGAGGAAGATTAAAGGGGGAGGAGAAGAGGAGAACATAGAGGGGAGGGGATTCAAAATTGTCTCCAAACAGGCATTCATGCTTTCTCCATTTTCCCTCTCTCTCTCATTCTCTCTCTCTCCATGCCCCCTCCCCACACTTGGTCGATGTCACTCTCTCACCTCTCTCCTCCAATACAGAGAAGTCAGATTTTCGCATCTGCCGTGCAGCTCATCGTACATCCACTCTTACTTTTCCCCTCCCTCAAGTCTTCACTTCTCTCCCGGCTCCTTCTCCAACCCTTCTTTCCCCTCTACCTTCCCGCTGCTCATCCTCCTCATCCTCGAGCCACTATGGTGAACAGATAACCGTCCAGCTATCCTGAGACCATGGGTGCCTGCCTCTGCAAAGGTCACAAAGGTCAGTGTCTGATACCACCTGTTTGTGCGTCCATGTGTGTGTGTGTCTGTGTGAAGGCTGGATCAACCTGCAGGTATGCCGATGACAGGAGCCAGCAATCTAAAGCTAGAGAACAGGAGAATTGAGATTATCACAGTGAATCATTTCATCCTAAAGCTGAATGCAGCTGACTGACTGACATCGTCAAGCTGTCAGCTGCAAAAATGGAGGGTTAACCCATATTTTTACACCATTTTTATGATGTATATCTAACATAGAAATAATTTATATGAAACTGATGCACAACATAAGTCATTCACTAAAAACTTTAGATTTAAGTGAATCTGAGGGGGTTGCTCTGGAAACAAGACTGGGGTGGGAGGTTAATAAGAGGGATTGTGAGGATCAGCGGAGGACAGGGCTGGCTTTACGATGTGATTGCTCTGTTTAAAGCTCATCCCCAACTTGTCTTGACCTGAAGATGTGCCCTGGGTTTTAATTTTCTCTTTCATGTATTTCCTGTCTCTGGTGAAAATAAGGCAGTGTTTGTTGTGTCTCAAAAAGCTGTCTGGATAAAGTGACAATGGCTCAGTGGGCAGCGGGGCCTCTTTGAGGAAGAACACACGTACTAAACTGTGCCGTCAATACAGAAAATTGAAAAAACTAAAAAGAGGATTTGAAGTGTTTTGTAATATCTCCAAACAACAATCACCCACTATTTTGTCAGTGCATGACATTTAACATCACATCACAGTCTTGCACATTATTTTCAGCCTGAACCTGCGATGGAATCTAAAAATATTTTGTAAGATAAAAGTCTGCTTATGCTCAGTAAGGGTGTCTTTTAATACGGTGGAGGAGCGATGAGAGCACAGCTGTCAAGCTGGCAAGAAAGTGGGAAGGCAAACAGATAAGAAGTGTGTGTGTGTGTGTGTGTGTGTGTGTGTGTGTGTGTGTG